GGTCGTGAGCTATTAATTAATTATTATTAATGGCATTTTCATTAATTAACTCATATCTCCGTCAAAAAGGCGCATGGACCCAAACCAACTTGGGGTTTTTCATTGCTGACTATTCCCTACATGATGACAATAGTCTGAGTCGAAAAGCTTTTAATCACCTCGAGAGGTTCCCTTTAGAAGCCATCACTGATTTTGTGGTGAATGTATACTTGATCTTGTAAATGTGTACTGTCGTAAGACAAAATATACGTTCACTTTTTTATAACATACATTCAGGTAAACATTGAAAATGAATTTTAGTATCTTTGATGATAATAATGGAATGGAGAGCAATTAAAATACAGTCAATAAATGAGTATACTTCGAAGCTTTAGATTGTGATTATTAACAGCGTTTAGAATGATAGATAATTATATTATAAATTCGAAATAATTGTTGTAAAATTCAAAAAAATCATACTATAAACACAAATACAAATTCGTAGTATAGAAAAAACAATTACAATAAACTTGAATAAGAAAAATCATTTGTGAAATCTAAGTACAATAGTCAATCATTCTATCTTTTCTTTGAGAAAACCTTTTACTCACTCTCCCATAACAAGAATCGATTATAAGAGAGTTCATGAATTGGCTATCTCACATGGTTCATCATCAAAATAGTTTCATTTGAGAAGTTAACTCTTATTCAATCTGGAATGATTGGAATACTGTCTAGAGTTTTCGTCGAAGTTCGATCTCTCTATTTTCAAAATTTATTTTGTCGTTAATAGAGATCATTCTTGTTGAACGAAATGCACTGTTTGGACTCATAATGTCTAATATACAAAAAGTAGTGCGCAAATCACTGACCGAACGTATTATGTTTCGGTACAATTAAATATCTTTTTTATGTGCATTGATCGTTAAAATTTTAGAGTGTGCATTAAAACTAAACTGTTAGAAACAGTTATAAGTTTTTAATACCCCTAAAATGAATATCTTTAGATAATCGATGTTCCACTTCAACTTTAAAGCATTAGCATCATCCAGATTTAATTAAATCTGAAATTTTTAATACTTAACAATCACTAAAGTTGTCCGAATTCTCATTAGGAATGAGAACAAGGAACAGAGGAGACAACGCATTGTTCTTTTTAATTATTATTTTTATATAATTAATTAAAAAGACAGCATCGTTCAACAAGAGTGTCTAGCATTCATGTGTTTCTAGTGAGAAATACATAAGTGGGAAAAGCAGTACTAATGAGCTATAAAGTGCTGGCAGAAGATGAAAGGTGGTGTGATAAAGAAAATTGCTTTTCCTTCCTTGCTATTATTCCTTCACGATTAGTATAAACGAAGGTATCAAACCGTTACAACAAGCATGAGTGAACTTTGTGAATAGCTATCTTTCTCCTTGAATTAACAATGAAATTCGTTAGACTAGAATAACAAAAAAACGGCTTTACTCTACTAATTTTATGCGCAGTTAAAAAAGATCAGATTTGATTATTGTTACAACTCGAATGATCAAGTTGCAAACAATATACTATGAACTTTTCTTACCTAAAAGAGTCGGGAGTTGGATGCTTTCCTCACATATTAGTGTCAAATAGACACTGGACTGTAAATGAAATTTTGCATCAGTATGTCTATAGGTAAATCATCCGTAGTATGACGAACAATGAAAATAAACATAGAGAATGTTTGAGTATTGTTTGTGCTTAGAAATATTTACATTGAAAAGTGATGACTTGACCTTAGTTAGCCATCAAGTACTTCTAAAGTCTTTGAACTAATATATACCATTTTGGTTTGCAACCAGTGAATTACCATCTGTTGATAAAAGGTTTTTAAAACTTTTTTATTTGATTAATCTATTAACTCCTGATATATTATGTTGTCTTCATCAGTAGTTAAAACAATAAATGCTAGTCAATAATTTTATAGGTCGATAATAGTTTTAATAACATGCTCTCAGCTTGTAAACTGTTATCACCGATTCCATATTTTGCCTTTTGATGTTGTTTTAGTGCACTTCCACTCTTGAATGTTGCACTACAAAATGCACATTTATGATTGGTATAATGATTTTTGGCTTTCTGATGCTGTAATATACCTTCAGAGGTAGCAAATACATCCGAACAACCGGGACAGTCGAAGAAATGTTGTTTTGCTTGTTGATGTTGGCGCAATGCATCAATACTTTCAAATTTGTTTGAACATTTGGGACATTCATGCATCGTTTTTGATTTTTGCTTCGTGCATTGCTCTGAGTTAGAACGAGCAACTGGAGTTAAGTTAGTTGTCGGCAATAAAGAATCGACCATGCTGTTCGAAATCTGTTGATTTATTTCCGATTTTGTAAACATTGACCAGTCGTAATGTGCATTGACCGTTGCTTTTAATTCAGCTTTTGCGGGTAGGTTATGGATAACGATAACATGAAATCCAGCTTGATGGCGCAAATCACTCAGTTTACCAACAAAATCAATGTCACCAGAAATTAACACGACAGTAGCTGGAGGTTTATGAGCACGTTCAAATCGATCAAGATCTAACAATATACACCGATCGACTGCACCCGGTTTGCTATCCGGTACATGAACAATTCTGACATTTGCGTGCGATAAACTAATTTGATTATCTTTCGATATTGTAGTACAATCACAGTAACAATTGAAACCAATTTCTCTCAAACCATGCGAAACTATCAATAAATTTCGAATTCGTTGCACAATGTCAAATGGTGATTGTTTACGTGGAATTGAGCAGTTTTCAATATCCCAAAAAAAACTGATTAAATCTTCTGGTCGTTGAGTCGACACCGGTGGTACAACTAACTTCGATATTACTTCTGATGATGGAGTTTTTTGTATTTTTGGATGTCGATATTTACATTGAATGTTTTTGCATCCCGCAGGCCATTTGTGACATTTATTAGCTGTTTGAACAGCTGCTTGACAATGACGAAATGGACATTTGTCAGATTTTTTACAATGCCCATTCATGAAATATGTACAGTCTGTCAGCGCTTGTTTAATATTTACATTGGACGCCATCTGAGAGTTTTTTAGTAATGTAGACTGCTTGCTAACTCACAATTCTTAAATACCAAATACCAATACTCATAAGAAGATCCAACAAGAAGTACAAATACGGCTTTCAGCATATATACTGTAGTCAAAAGTCAAATTCAGCCCAAACTAAAACTGACTAACTCAAACTTAAATTTCGACTATCTAGTCTGAAAATGGTATATTTGTTGTCTTTTCTGTTTTTTTTGAACGAAGTGATGACATCAGTTTTTAAGGCCCCCCTCTCCCCGTCGGAAACATAAATTTTTTTATAAAAAGTCGGTATTGAGCTAACGAGGGAACCTCTTTAGATGTTAAATCGCTTTTCGCTCGGGACCATTGCCATTCGATAGGTCCTACTGAGTAGTGAAAAAGTCTAGAAGGGTTAGGGTGCATGGCTCTTCTGGACTGAGATATCGAATTATCAAGTTATGATCGAAATAGACTAAAATATCAAATTTTCAATTAATAGACAGACTAGGGTCAATAGACCAATTGTTCTGTAAAGTCTGAAGAAGCTGTATTCTACAGCGAAGCGTCACTGTAATGAATTTTAAATGAATCAAAAAGGAAGAGTCTTCAAATGAGTTTAAACAGTTCTGAATGATGTTCTAATCAAGAGTTATGAGAGTTTTGTTGGAAGCCCTAAAACTAGGGGTGGCACTTCACCTTTCCTTTACTTGTAACTATTAACGAACTTAGTTACTCGTTACTAGTAATTAAATAACTAATCTAGTTATTTCGTTATTAGTAACGAGTAACTGAGTTCGTTAGTTCGTTACTTCTCCACAAAGTAACGAAAAACCGTTACTTTCTAAAGAAGTAACGAAATAACTAGATCAGTTACTTCTTTACTAGCAACGAGTAACTAAGTTCGTTGCTTTATCTGGTAAAGTAACGCCGAGTAACTAGTAAAGTGCCACCCCTACCTAACACATTCATCAGATACTGGCGCCACGATATCTCGAAAGCGACTTTCATCTTAACATTAATTCGTAGCTCCCAGATTTCTCACTAAAGAAATATCGCAGAGAGCTCAGGAGAGTGCTAAGTTGAAGCTGACACATGTGGCTAGAGGCTACTAGAGCCCGATTTTTGGTATTCGATCCAAATTTGTGATTAGAAACACACCTTTACCAAGTTAATGAGACTTTTTCGAATTTTTTGGGCTTTTGGCGCTGACCATTAATTTGAAAAGAAAAACATCAAAAATCCGGCTCTATTAGCCTCTAGCCATATGTGTTTTCGTCAATTTAAGACAGGCCCGAGCTCTCCATAACGTTTCGTTATTGAGAAATCTTGGAGCTACGAACAGCTCCTTTTTGGTCACTGTTGTGGCCACATCTTACAAACCATGCATGATGAACCCAAACAAAAATTTCGCCACCATACTTTCACAAGATCAGCATCTCCTAAAATTTTGGTCAAGAGCGGACTTATAGTTTCAGAGATAGATTTCTGACGGGGGGGGGAGGGGGAGAGGGCTTACGCTGACTAGAAGACGGGCGAAACGACCAGAATGATGAGTCTTTTTGTCTTTTGCTATTGCATTCTTCTAACTGTACCATGAACCCTGTACATTGTATCAGAATTCTTCTCGATCGCTGTGTAGATAAGGACCAATGTATAAATAGTCACAACTGTTGGTTTATCATCAACCATTTTTACCACACATTATTTTCTAAAGAGTTCATTTTTTATTTTACAATAGTAATACCATTGCGTAGCAATTTACCATTTATTTTTATAATTAAACTGTCTATATTCATCAATTAAATGGAAATTTCAATATTTTATCGCATATATGCTTTTTAATCACAGTTTTCTCACGATATTTTTCTTGTAATGAATTAATATATTCTTTAAAGCCGTCATAAAATTTCTTTTCAGGCATTGAAGTAGCAGTAGAAGCAGGAAAAAGAGTTGTATTTGAATCAGAAGAAGAATGTTGTACACTAGATGATGAATAGGGAACAGCTGACATAATTGATTTCAATTTAATTGATGAATATAGACAATTTAATTATAAAAATAAATAGTAAATTACTACGCAGTAATATTACTATTGTAAAATAAAAATTGAGCTCTTTAGAAAATAACGTGTGGTAAAAATGGTTGACGATGAACCAACAGTTGTGAATATTTATTTCAATGTCTACTCTACGATTCTACGCAAGGTCGATCTTTCTATCTCTTGGGGTTCTCGGATGGTAGACATTTTCCGGAAACGTACGTTAACATTACGTCTGGCAACCTCAGAGACAAGTGGAAACATATGTTGTCGATTACGCTAAGTCGCATGGCACTG